AACCAGAACTATGAGATAGATAGATACGTACATAGACACATAGACAGAGGGACAGACACTCTGTACTTGAGACCTATCAAACAACACATGCTCTCTAAAAAAGCCACATGCTTATCTGCCTATATGAACATGACTTTGCTTTTTAGATCATGTATTTAGAAAAAAGAGGGAAAAAATATGTAATTCGGATGATTCATCCATGGATTTATGTAAGTAAATGTATAGTTGAATGTACAGCATTTGCAATTTGTTGTTCCTGGGGCCAGAAGGCCCCACCTGGTCACCCATCAGGTAGGGGGTTGGCTGATCTTTTGCCCAGTGGGGGTAAAAGAGTGCTCTGGAGGGCCCTGTCTGGTCTCTGAGGGAAAGGATGAGGATTTACAGGCATTGCCTCAGCTGATCTGCAATCTTGCCCCAGAGCTGTAGCAAGCAGACTGCTTAGCTGGAGAGTGGAGGTGGTTGCCAAGACCTATGAACTGCACCCTGGAATTTACCTGGCTTTTGGTTATGTTTTGTAAATGTGGACAAAGTTGTGCCCTGCCACATCAACACCATAGGAAGTGTTTTTGTCATTCCTTTGGCTATAATCAGAGCCGGTGTTAACTACGTGTGATAACTATTCAAGTTTTATGCAGAGTGTTTTTCCCCTCTATTTTCTTGTTTTTCTTGTGTTTGTTTCTTTGGATTGCTAGCTCCCTCATGGCACAAATAAGCACAGCATTTAAGTAGCAGCTAAATTCAACTGTTACTGAATTCATTGAGATTTCGCACTTGCTTAAAGTTGGGCCCAACATAACAGTTCAGTTTGACAGCAAACTTTGAGTACATCCCCAGTAGTTATGTCAAAGAGCACCTCAGTGGTGTGAACTACGGATTTTTATATGTCCGCTTTTTGCCATATCAAGGCCCAGAAAGAACTTAATTCTATAGTACATTTACAAAAAGTTCATTGTCTCTGCTTTACTGAAACCAAAACTTATATTCACGGTTACAGAACTAAATGTGTATTTTCAAATGTACTTGTTCAAAAATTATGTTCATGAACTTCTGGCTGCTCACTACTGCGTTCCAATACACAGTATAACCAAATAGACAAATTAAAGTGAATTGGAGCTTTCAGTCCCTTCTCCTGTGTGGCCATCGCTGGTGAATTTAACTGAATAAATGAATAAACCTCTTCTTTTAAGTGAATGTCAAAAAAGAGAAATTTTTGAAAATAGTATCAATGACCATTCATAGTTTTTTCTCTATTCAGAAGTAGTCTGTAACAGACTCTGAAGCTATAAAGGGAACTCTGTGTTTCAGAAAGGACTCTCTAAAACAATAGGGAATTCACACAATTCTATACAGGAATAATTATAAATATACCAAAAGGTATATGTGGTTGGTCTTTATTTACTCTGTTGCTCTTTTATGTCTTAGCATTTAACAGTGCCTAGGGACCTTTGCATGTCAGTTGTACACAGTAGTGCATAAAACCTCCTACTTGACTGGATCGATACTAAGGGAACTTAGTGTAATAATGAATCAATAAAAATGAGCAACATTACAGAGGTGTACTTTGTTTCAGGATTGTAGGTATTGTGGCAGATCTTCAGTTAGGACACCCAGATAATTGCTGACGACAAACAGTGTATTCTTAAACTGCCGCACTCCCACGGCACTGGGCTCTACAAAGAGACTTTTGTTTGGCCCTATGGATGTAAGCAAGACCTCCTGCTGCTCTGCTGCCAGCACACTGTAGTTACTGAGTACACATTTTCAAAGAATATTAAACCCACTGTAACACAGAGCAAGAAGTCATAAGACCTCACACTGAGAATGCATAGAGAACAGTTTATACAGACCTCTAAAGAGAAGTTTGCAAAAGTCCCACTGTCCATTACTTGAAAAAGATGACATGAATCTATCCCTGCACTTATCAAGTGACATTCTAAAGGCAATTCTGCCTCACAGCTACCAGCGAGTGCAATGTTTCCTAAACTTCTGTGCATTGTCTGACTCTGCTTACTCTGCATCAAGATGGTATTTTCTTATCCAGAGTGGTATCAAAAATAACTAATATTTATGGAAGTATGAATCTTCTTGCTAAATGAGCACCATGCTAGGTGTCTCTCAAGTCTTATTTTCAAGTGGTTTGATTTTCAGCAGTTCTGAGTGTGCATCAGGTGCTAAACAGGGAGTTGCAGAATGTTCAGCTCTTTAAAAATCAGGCCACACACACAAACACACATATATGTATGCATATGTGTGTGTGTGTGTATGTGTGTGAGTGTATGTCTGTGTATACGCACACACACACACACTCACACACACACACACACATATATATGGGAGGATAATTTAATCCTTCCAGGTGCAAATATTTTGACTTGTCTCTTTTGTATCCACATATCCCATGACATGTATCCAGATAACATATATATGCTAAATAAACATATGGTGCTACTAATAGCCCAGAGGTGTTGTTTCCTGTATAATAGATATTGTTTGCCATGATGTATAGAATGCCTGCCCTGCACCCATAGTTGCTTTGTATCTGTATTGCAGTGAACGTATTGAACAAGCCTGAGGATGGGCACCACGCCATCCTGACAGATGGGTCTGGCTGCAGACATCCAGGAGACCATGTACGTGCATCCAGTGTGGGTGAGAGCAATAGGATCCTTTGCCAGGAAGATCTGAAAATCTGTTTGTTTTGACTGTACCTACTCCAAGGACAAGGAGGTAGGCTTACATTACATAACGTCTGTGAAATCGCTGAAATTGGTGGGGGTGAGGGGGTGGTGGTCGCAAGTGTAAAACGAATCTGTTGAAACAACTGCGAATCAAAGATCGTCACTGGGAAAAAGTGAGGCAGCATTATGACATCCCACATCACTTTGTCTTCCCTCGGGAAGACCAAGCAAAACTGGTCATAACAAGTTAATTTGTCTGAACAAGTCAGCAAAGGTGCAGAAACCTGTTGTGCAGGCTTTCTTCCTGTCCCAGAGGCACATAATATTTTGTAAAACAAAGTGCTGACTTTCAAGTACTGTGCAGGCACTGCTTCCCTATATAGTATAAAACTCTGCTGAATAAAGGAATAAGTATTTTCACTACAAAGAACATGAATTTACCTGCTGACCTTTTAAATGTAAGTTAAAATGTCTTCTGAACAATTAAGTATTTGCATTACTAGAAGATAAAATACTTCTCTCAAAAATTATCCTCTTACAGAATTCTTCCTCAGGTCAGGCTTGTGTATATTAATATAGAGTTGAAGAGAAACACAGTACAAGCTGTATTTATTCAAGGCTCTTAAAGGTTCAAGCACTATCAGAATAGTTTTCTTTATTATCATGCATTTCATTCATACCTACACCCAGAAAAATCTACTTAAAAATAAAGTCTGCTGTATAAAAATAATTAAGCAGTTTCCTCAACTATTGTCTTGAATTTGCCAGAAGCTTGGCACAGTATACAGAGTGATCGATGCAATTAGGTTACAGAAAAATATATTTCAATACAACATATATCTTTTTAAAAACCATTTAGGTTTTCAGAACAGCAACCTGAACTCTTAGATAGACAATTTTGTACTTTTGAAGTACAAAATGCACATAGAAAGCACAAAGGGAAAGTACAGCCATATGAGGGTGAATAAGACACATGAGGAAAGAGATAAAAGTCCTTCCCATGCACAAGCTTAAGTGGCAGGTAGAGCAAGGGAGCTGGGAAGCATGAAAGAAGTCGGTGAAGTTATTGTTGGCAGTTTTAAAAACATCCAGTGAGTTTTCTTGTAAAGTAAAAAGCCAGATTCCTGTCCTTGCAGACATTAAAGGAAATTTTGTAACCAGGGTATGAAGAATGGATGTTTAACTCTGTCGCCTCACTGGTCATCCAACATGGAAGATGTTTTCAAAGGAGCATCTTCTCACCATAAGCGCATCAGCAATGAACGTCTTCTGTCCCCTCCTCTTCCCATAATGAGGGCTCATGCTTTCAGGACCCATATATTAATTCTTAATTATACTTGAAAAAAATAAAAATAAAAAAGAAAGAAAGAAAAAGTGAAATTCTAAGCCAGCTTTAGCCTTCTTGTTGAAAATGACAACTTATTACACTGGCAGCGTGGGAAACCAAGGAGCTGTAAGCCAGCTTCCTTCCTGCTCCAGACTTTTTAGTAGCTTTTATTGTTTGGGTTTTTTTTTTGCATTATTGAGTTAAACCTTGAGAACAATGAAAAGAGGGATGTTTTTGGAAGATGGTAAGTATAAAAGTAACTCAGCCCTGATGTGAACATGTGGCACCAACTAATTTGGACTTGTACTTGGCCTGAGGATGCAAGAAGAGGGCAAAGGTGACTTAAGGAACTTTATGCCTCCTTATTTGTTGTAACAATGTAGTCACCAACTCAAGCTGCCCGCTGTCTCACAGGCTCTTCTGGCATCTGAGGACAGCTGAGATATTTATATATTGCAGTCTTTCTTTTTTTTTATTATCATTACCTCCTGCATAGTGAAGCATGGAGCTGCCACATGAGTCCTACATGCCCAATTACCTCTGTGTAGGGGAAATTTTCTGAGGGAGAGAGTGGATCTTCATGGATGCACTTTGCAGCTTCACCAGGGCAATGCAGAGGGAGGGTTTTTTTACAGTAACAAGTGTGTGCGTGTGAATATATGTCACCTCTTTTAAGTACACCTTTTAAGCCATAAAATGTGCTTCATAACTTTTTGATACCCAAAAAACATAGTCATTTTAGTTCTCAAATTTCTGAAAACCTCTAAGTTCAGGAACATAGTGTATTATTATCCAGATGATATCAATACATTAATATCCTGCCTTCTACCATCTCAAATATTTTCTATTTGGTCTTTGGAGAAATTTTGTTGTAAAGTTGATTTATCAAATAAAAAGTGTTCTTCCTCATATACTCTTCAAAACTCCTAGTGTTCTTTTTTGTTTAAAGAAGGAAAATAATCTAAAAGGCATTGCATTTTAAAATACATTACAGTTTTACAGATAGTGCCTCATTTTTAATTACAGAACCTGCTATTACAAATTTTTAAATAGGTAAAAATGATTTGAAATATTGATGTTTTATCACAAATTATCACTGAAACTGTAAATTAGTAGTTACTTTGGAAGAAGCAAAAGCAGAGAAATTTCTAAGCAAAATAAATCACATACATAGGCTAAATGATTGTACCCCTTAGAGATTCAAATAAATCGCTTTTCTCTTGTACACAGACATGTTCTACAGATTATAAAAAAGATACATTAATAGCAAGGTAGTGATGTGATGCTTTGATGTTTGATTTAACCCTGCATAATGATTTCCTGTAATACTTTGCATTATTGAGTAGATTCTTCCTTAAGAGACTGTTATTTAAAATGGAAAAAAGCATATTTTTAAAATTTCACAGTGAATTTAATACATCATTTCCACCAAGAACCTCATTAGTAATGGGCACCTTTCAGACTATCACAGGTATCAGGATATTCTGAATTGAAGGATGGACAAGCTGGCAAGCTGTGACATAAAAGGTTACAAATGTTGTCTGCTAGTAAAATAATTATTTGCAAGCCGAGTAGTGTATGATGTGGTCTTTCCTTAAAAAAAAAGGAAAGTACAACTCCTTGATGCTGTTGCCCAGAATCTTTGTTTTAATGCATGTGTATATCTGCAGCTGAATAAGATCTTTTTCTTGGGTATTTTGAGTAGGCTGCTCATCGCACAAGTAATATTCTCTCACTCCTATGAGCAAATATTACTTGTGTAATATACTTCTATTGGAAGCCTCAAAATTTTGCCAGTATTAGACCCTGGTCCTACACTAGCAATTTCCCTCTGTGCAATCCCAGCAATATACTCAGGGGATGGTGGAGCTCTGCAAATCAGATTCAAATAACTCCTAGGACTTTTTGTTTCTCTGAGCAACAAGTTAGACTCCATCTCCTGAACTGATTCTAAAAACTAAATTTTGAAGAAAATCTTTCTTATGTTTGCATAGCTGGAATTTTTTCACTCTTTTTCCTTATGCTGTCTACAAACAAAGAAGTACAAAATACTAGAGGAGAAGAGAAAAATGTGTCAGAAACTGGAAAGTACTATCCATGAATGGTATTCTCAATGAAATGTTAAATAGTGCAACAGTAGAAAATCATTCCATGAAAATAGGAAGGGTAAGTGTGCATTTCACAAAGTTTAACAGAGTTTCAAAAATGTTAATCTATTTTCTGAGTGAAGATTGGATCTTCTTTTTGTTCAAAGTATCTGTGAAAATAAATCTTCACTTTTTTCCTCAGCAGTAAGAGAAATGTTTTTGCAGAAGACATTCTCCTACAGAAAAGAAACAGAGCAAGCTGCAATTAGAATAGAAGTGAACATTATAACTGAGAAGAGAATATGTAAAAACACAAACATATTTATTTTCATGTTTTTATTTTGAAAATATTCCATATGTTCATATTAATAAAAGGCAAAAACATCTATTGAATTTGTTAATAATTATCCTGCTACTTGTTTTATCCTGTGCAGTTGCCATTTCCCTGACAAGATACTGCGTGTCAATTAAGAATGGTAGTCATTTCTAGTGCAGTGGAATAATTTGTACAGGAGTAAAATTTTGAATACCATGATAAGAGTATCAAACTCATAAGGTACCAGATGTTCATCAGTAGGTTCCCTGTGTAGTAAAACAGGATCTCATTATAAAATCAGGAAGTATGTAAATAATTCTGAAATGGTGAAAAATTTAATAAAGATATAGCTCATCAAAAGACTGATAGGAGTAATGTTATTTAAATTAAGTTCACAGTTCTTCTACTTCAAAGGGACTATCAAAGCCAAATCAGAGAGGAAGGAATCATCACCATCCTCAATTCAAATCATCACTTGTGGTCCAGCCATTGGGCTTAAGAATCATGGGAGCATCCTACTATTAATTCTTAATAAAAAGTGAAGCAGTACCACTCATCCTGTTACATAGTTTCTTTCAAGTGTTCCTGTAATCATGGCAGCATCTGCCCAGCCATGTCCTCTGTTGTGTGCTCCAGCTGCGTGGGAGTGCTGCCACATGGCAGTGTCCTCCTGCAAGCCCTGAACCTGTAGAGGACAAGGGGCTAGGCCACGTCATGATCCTGACCTGCCTGAGCACTGAACACAACAGGAGAGCAAGTGAGGAATGTAAGGCATCCTATGCCTAGTAAAAGGCCTGAAACAGATCATCTGCAGAAAGAGGGTTTCCCTAGCTGGTCAGATTCCCATTATCAAGCCAATTGATTTTAGGGCTTGACACCAACTTTCCATTTTTGCATCACTGTATTTTATTTCCTGATGTGCATTGCCGTGAATCACAGCGTCTAGAAAAAGGAGATAGGTATTTGTTTTGGAACTGTCCTTACCACGCAATGCGAGTTGGCTTGGTAGCTGCTAGGAGAGAGCACTCTCATGGCACGAGGGGAATGTGAACTTCTTTGCCATAGCGTTCCCATTTGATGCTGCAAGAGGCTGAGCACCTGCTGCTCCCTGTTGCCATCAGCTGCTTAGTGGCACTACACCAACATAACAGTAATGCTAGGAAGCCCTTATTCTTTATTCTTAAGCTGGCAGAGCCTTTCTTCTGGCAACAAGAGAAAGTATTGATTTATGTATTATAAGGCAAGGTCCTCATAGTGTCAATAAAAAATAGCTAAAAGTGCAAGATCCATCTCTGGAATCTTTTATTAGCAGGTATAAATTGGCTCTGCCTGGCACTTTTACGTGTCCATTTGATCTATGCCTTATCAGATGTCATCTAGCTCTATTATAATTCAGATATCATTAGTTAAAAACTCACCAAGGAGTAGATTCTAACATCTGATAACTCAGCGATGCAAAACCTGTTCAAATATCAGTGGTAACTGATGAGCAAGATCACCTCTTATAGCGTGCTCCTGTGACCTAAAGAAGGGGCAGCAAAAGGAAGAAATCTTTTCAGTCCAATCACATACATTGTTGCTTCAGGACAGATTATTTCTGGACCTCTTTAGACATTTTTTGGGCCTGCTCTCAAATATGACAGCTCATTAGAAAAAGATAAAGTCATCCATGAAGGCACTCTGATGGCTCTTGACCTGTTGTCTCAGCTCCTTGACCGCACACAACTCACAGAGCCATTCTCAGCTTCTTTTCTCTACCAATGAAAAGATTCCCTGCAGATTTGTGGTCTTAAACAGCAGTGAGCAGATCACAAGGCATCAGAAGGCAGTCTGAAAAAAAAATGCAACAACTCTCCCAAAAACCTAAGCAGTCTATACATACATTCCCTGGCAAGTGGACAAGAAAATGGGACAAAAAAGAAGTACAAAACTGACATTTGAAGTTCAAGCTAATTTAATTTGTTTGTAAGTAAGTGAAGATAAGTATGGTATCTTCATAGGTGAAAAGGGAAAGATGGTCCTTCACTTTAAAAAGATTGAAAAGTCTTGGACTCGAGGACAAAGATACATGATTCACACAGACAGATTTTTGGCTGGGAAGCGTGCATCCAACTTGGAAGGTTTCTTGCATCAAAGGACTTAGGCAGAGGTAATTTTGTCCAATGGCACATGTCCAATTGATAGAAAACAGCCTGTCCCTGATTATTCTAACAATAATACAGAAAAATAAACAGCATAGCAGAGAGTGGAACAAATCTAGAAGAGCATTAAAATTACTTATGGACTTAGAAAGCACGTAAATGTACGCTATCAAGGTTTGTGTATGGCTGAAGCTTGATTTTTCAAAGCTTAATTTTAACATCTTGTAGGAGTCTTATTGTTTCTCATAAGGAATCTAGAGGCTTTTTATTTGTAACAGAGAAATACATCCACAATGGTCTGAGATATTTATTTATTCAAAATTCATGAAAATAGATACAGTCATACACCAGAAGGTAAGAATTTCACTTTTTAGTTCTCATGTATATCTAACTTGCTGATCTAAATAATCATATTACACAGAAATGTCCTGTCTATGTTGGAATATTTGACTGTTTCTATAGGAACAGTTATATCACTGTACATTTTACAGTGATATTGTTAAATCAACAATAAAATAGTATCAATCTTTATATGGCAATGACTGTTCTAGAATAAAAGAAGCCTTTTTGCTTTGGTTAAAACTCCTTTCAAAGCAATATAGGATAAAATGAAGAAAATACTCCTTTTTTACAAAAGGAATCATATAAATTCATATAAAAGTAACAGTTTAAACTGACATGTTAATGCATGCAGTATTATTTTCCATGTGAAAAAATGCTTAGATAAAGAAACAAGTCACACCGTAAAGGACAATCGGAAAAAGGTAAGCAGAGAAAGAGACAAGAACGTGTAATAGGAGCCATGGTTCAACTTCCTTTGTGTTGGAATTTGATATGAAGAAAGAAAGGCGCTATACTATAATGAACATTATCTGCTCATTTTTATTTGAAAGAGGGCAACTAGTAAAATGTAATTATTCATAAATTACTTAGATTAGTGGAAGTGCAGGGAGGCCTAAACATTTTAAAGAAGCATCTCACTCTGTAAAATTATGGGCCTGAAAGTTACCATCCAGTTTAGAACACTACCTCGAGGCAGGAAGAACTAAACCTATTTCACTTCTCATACTTTTTTGCCTAACCTTTTCCTAAATTTCATGTTTATGGAATTATGTTCATGCTTCTAATAATTTTAACAATCTCTATTTTTTTTTAAATTTGGTATTTCTAAGCTTTTTTATTTTGTCAGTATTATCATATCAGAACTAAAAAATATCAACTTATGAAACTGTAGAAACCTTTATCCCTCCACCAAGCTTAATGTAATAAATCGTCATTTTTGTGCAAGTATAAGATAAGGATACTATTAAGGTATTTATGCTACATGATCTTTTTAGGCAGATTGACCATAACGCAGTTTAGACTAAAGTAAGATTACATCACCAATTTATATAATACTGGTACTTTAACTTATATGACTATTACATAAATACACAGGAAACCCTCAGCTTGAGATGAATTGTGAAACATGTTCAGTTTTTAGTATGCCATCTGAAAAAAAAAAAAAAAAGGAGCAACAGAGCCCAGAGAAAATGAACAAAATATTTTAAGCATGAAACCCATACACACGAGAATACATGTAAAAGATTAAGACCGTTTAATAAACAAAGAAGCATAATTCAATAAGCAGAATGGAGAGATTTAGAGCAACTCATACTTCTGTTTTTTCTAATGCAAAAGGGAAAAGAAGCATCTATTTAGTTAAAAATCAGTATATTCAAAACTGATCAAAAGAAACAATTTGTGAAGCTAATAACATTTTAAAATAGCATTTTTGTATGTTCTAAGGATATAGATTAAACAAAATTTCTAGTTGCTTGAAAGTTTTTTAAACCAACTAATATTGCTGGGGAAAAAAAAGGTGTAGGCATACAGGACTATTTCATCTGATTTGAAGAACATGTGTGTCTAAAACCTTATCTGGCTTTTCCAGTTATACCAGCTCATCTAACAGAAGATACCACCTTTCCCTTTTTCCAATTAACTTCCTAACTATCACCTACAGGTACAATATCACAATGCATATATATGCTAGTGATCCTTGTGTTTTAGGATTTATGACAGCAATAGAAAGCCAGAAAGAAATTTTCAGTATTGATAAAACTATTCATTTCTTCTTCTGCAAGATTTGGTATTTGTTACTCTCTGAAACAGGATAGTATCTTCACTCATTAAGACATACGAATTGTGTTTAGCAGATAGAGAAGAAATCTTCCATTGTAGTCATACCACTTACAACTTTATATGAAAGTCAGTCTGTCATTTGTAACTGTTCATTTTATGGAAAGCATGAATAGCAGTTAGTTTTATGCTTATCCTGGCATAGAAAACTTTTCTTTCTCCCTGCCTCCTTCCCCACTCAATTATTCAACTCAGTCACTAAGTTTGCTATGAAAAGACTGCTGACAGCCTTCTGAAACAGTTCTGCAGCTCCACTTCTGGTCTCCAGCTTCAGCTGCCCCCATACTACCTCCACTGGTAACACTTCTGCGGGTAGTTTTGTTTTGGTTTGTTTGTTCATAGTATTTTAACCAGCTTTGTTCACAAAACCTCAATATGAAGAGAAATGTTACTATTTGGAATTTTTTCAATATTCACTTTTCCCCGGATTAGTTCATTAGCTAGTTTAAAATAATCTAAAAATCTTAGATATGTGGCAATATTAATAATCTTAGATACATGAAAATATTAATAGGATATAACTATTTTCAGAATATTATTTAGAAATAAAAATATGTCTGATGAATCAATGGGAAACAATAACGTTTCTAAATATGTAACAAGGAATGAATGTGCCTCATGAATGAATGATGAAGGAGTTAATTTATTTCATTATGCATGAAAAAGGAGGAAACTAGACTTTAATCCTGCCAAAGCAATCACAGTTGGAGAGAAATGATGGCCTAAATCTGGTATAAAAGAAATGGCATAAAAGGAGCAAAGACTTGATTACTCTCACTTTAGTAAAAAAATAAGGAACACATTTCTGTAAAACACCTGGTATACAAAGGTTTGTTTTTATTATTAAACATAGAAAATTATTTTAAGTTCTTCATTGCTGTACTTGTTACTATGTGAAGGATTTAGGGAAAACTTTAAGCCCATCAAATTTCTTGAAAAGTTAGGATACATATTTTCGTCTTTGAATGTTTATATATATAACAGATTTAAAACAGAAAGTCTGTGTTAAATAGTAATTACATTTGTCAAATACAGCAAAAGATGTAACAGTGAAGAATGAAACCCACAGTGATGCATATAATTTAAGAGTTTGTGAGTATTCTTATAACTGATGTTAGTATGTTGTGCAATGACTGGAATACAAATGTTTTTCATCTCAGAAGGATAAAGCTGCATGCTTACACCCTTGCATGTTGTGAAATATGACACAAGGTAAGCCAATAGATTTAAAAAAAAAAAGGAATTAGCGAATAAGGTAACTAAAGTACTTTGTATTGTGATTTTAGCATTCAAGTTAGTCTAGGCTCTCGTTAATCTTACCAGTGATACTTACCAGTGAAATAGCATCGCAGTGGATCTTTTCCTACCAGTCTTGCAATCCTAGCTTCTTACAGCCTAGCATTATCTTCACTCATAAGAAAGAAAATATATTTTGTGGTAAGCTAGCTTTGTCAGACCTATGCAAGGCTTTTAATATTTATGCCTACTAAAAAGGACAATCAGTTAAATCAGAAATTATTACTTTTAGGTGAACTAAAACTGCAAGAAAACTGGTATCATCCCCATAACTGCTGATTGGATGAACATCTCTCCTGTTGCATAACAATACAGCAAATTTTTCCAAGATAAAAAGAAAAATGGAAAAAAAATTGATGGGAAGAGGAAAAGGATTCGAAATAAGGAATTAAAGATCTTCTTTTAAAATTTGTAAAGGTTATCAGTCAAACCTGGAAACTTTAATTAGCTCTGCAGTTTGACTGAAAAGGTGTAGCAACAGGTGATGTAAACTGAGAATTCTATACATGTTAAGAATGATATGAATGTAAATGTTAAAATGATGTAGGGTAAACAAGAGTTAATCCAATGCCCAAATAATTGCTACTTCCTTGAGGAAGGGGATGCAATTATACTGTGATAGCAGTGAGCAGTGGTATTGATTCATGGCTGAACCCAGCAATCGAAGCCTATGTAAAAGAGTGCTTTACACGAGCGCATGGAGCTTGAAGCTAGCTGAAATACCCAAGCATAGAAAAGATGCTTTTATAAAGACATAGTTATTTGTCATGCAATCTCTGAAGTGTGTTGAAGAGGCTAAAATTCGGTATTTGGCTAGAGGACAAAATTTGGTCCTAATCTTCAGTGCATGACACAATAACAAGTCTTCACATGGGCTGATATAGTTCCTATGGAAGATGACTTCGTAAAGGCCCAGCTTTTGTTGTGTAACTGCCTACACCTACTGGACAAGTGTCTAAGTCTAGGGGAAACCTGGGCCAATATAGCTGGTAGGTCTCATGCAGGAAATATTTCTGCTAGATGTAAGTAGTTAACAAGAAAGAAATTCAAGTACATGATTCGAATAGCAAAATTTCAGGTAATTCTTCTGGAGACCAAATATGCAATCTTTCACTAAGGAGCACTGGTAATTTAAATTTTAGTGCTTCAGTAAAAACATATACTTAGTAAATTAACTGAATTATCGGTATGGCATCCCACTTACTCCTGATCTGGTTGCTGTATTTTTTTAGAGATTTACTGCTAGAAAGTTACGCTTTCCCTATTATTGATATGAAAGAGAAAACTGGTGAAACTTGAAGGCTAATAACAATGACAACTGGAAAAACTGGATGTAGCCTTCTATCTGTAAAAGGTTCATTATGAGTTGTTAATCTGTGCCAAGGGGTAGAATCATTTTAGCAAAATGCAAACACATCTTATGTCCTTATGTCCTATGGTATGCCTAGGCCCAGAAGTTTACGGGTATTTCCTGGGAGTGCTGCCATCTGAACACAGCTCCTGCCCTACTTTGTCTGCTCTTCCTCCATAAGAACTAAGCAGGTAGAGATACAGCGTAAGCCATGCTAAGCATGGGATATGTAACCGTTTCATGTACCCATGACAGAATGAAAGGCATACACAGATACTGTTCTTCAGTCTAGTGTACAGTATTGGCAAAGGGGCTAAGGACTAGAAAGCCTTGGAGCTGAAGCCCTTCTGCATGTCCGTCTTTAGAAACAGCAGCTGAGACCCTGGAGGGAATGTGGAACACCAACAGTGCTGTGGGCTCTGAATGGTCCGCCAATTGCTAAACGTCTTGAGAAGCAACTGGCTCTACCTGGAGTTAACATGCCAACAGTGGTATATGCTGGATACCTTTCAGGATGAATATCAACAATTTACCTTTGATGTGCCCAGGGGTTCCACAGCAAGTAGCCTGTTCAATTAAAAATAGAAAACTGCGACTGCCCGTGTAACTGCTAAATAGAAAAGAGAAGAAAGCATGCATTTGAGGAGCAAAATGCTGGCAAACAGTTGCATTTTGCTCAATTAGCTTACTGTGATACAGTGGGGAAAAGGGGATATATCAAGAAAGATGAAGGAAAATAACAGAGGACTTGTCTTCTAACTGAAAAAATGGAGGGGACAAAAAAAGCCTAAAAACAATTTGTTTACTGTCCTCTATCCACAGGACATTGCTGCAGCTGCTGTGTTTTTGCTGCTGAAAGCCAAGTGGCTTCCCAGGCGTGGCAAGGAATTCGACTTTCTGATTATGAGTAAAGGAAACACTAGGAAACTTTGTTATATGTTGGTCAGTTCTTTCCCATTGCAGCAGCTCCTGGGAGAGGGCAAGGTTTGAAATTCATGGCTGTGCACCCTCACAGATTTCATTAAGACCAAACAATGTCAAGAATAATATCTGCAGCTACTGTCTAGCCAATAGGACAATCAGCAAGGATGACAGTGTTGGCCAGCTGGTGCTAAGGGACGATAAATTCTCACCTAGAAGTTGACCTCCCTAAACAAAACCATTAACTTATGATCTGAACACATCACATACTACGTATACAGAACACAGGCAAGAGTGAAGCATCTGCAGAAAACATAGGATACGCTAAAATGACGGATCTGAAGACAAAGACGGTCACTGCTTGGATAAGTGATTTGATAAAACTGAGGGAAGGGATAAATCATAAAATTGCAAAATGTGACTTTGCAAAAGGGTTGCGAGGAGAGGAGAAACCATGCCATGTGTCTTAAGCAGTCTCCTTGGGAATTTGGAAAGCCATTTTCTGAGCAAATCCATTTTCTCCTAAGGAAACAGATCTGAGAGATCTGTTTTGAGTATTCATGCAACCTAGCTAACAACGCCTGACCCACTGCAGCAGATCAGTCTTTATTGCTACTCTGCCTGAAAACCCTCTATGTCTTGAAAGCGGCTCTTTATTGGACTTTCACACAAATGGATCTGGAGTACCTTAAGGTCCGATTGTAAATATTACCTGACTGATAACCCAGTACTCACACTGACCTGTCAAAGCAGTAAAATCAGCAGGCACGAAGTGTATTCTTGGGGAAACCATCAACTTTTGAAGACTATATAAAAACAATGTACTTATTAGCTATGCAAACTAGCAAAAAACTAGAAAGTGCAAAAGTACTGTGAATATTTCAAAAAAATGTCAGTTTTTAAATGACTCAAACTGCAATTCCATTCTGTGTATAGAATAGGAACTATGCATTTTTGGTATGTGTGTTGCATAAATATTAATCAGATTAGCTCAGTTCCTGTTACAAGATACTGATTGACAGAAACGGTACAGACATAGACATCCAAAATGGTCTCCAATCTGGGCAACTCTAAACCAGCATGCTGATGAAGTTATGTGAAATATAAGAAAATAAGCACCAGAAGTGGTTTGAATGCCCTTTTCTGGGAGATAACGCTTGAAGCAGGAGGCCTACTGTGTTAAGCTGCACTTTTGATTGACTTTTCATTTTGTCCAAGTTCATAAATTAAATTCTATCACCTTATGCATAGCTCTTGTGTGCTACTCTATGGCTATTCCCATACACTACCTTCATTATAAGCAAGCCAGTACAATTAACAAACTATTACTGTTATAGCAGAAGGATAGTTGTCAGCTGGACTTAATACTGCCTTGATACCAAGTGACTGGTTTTCTCATAGATGTGCTTGCTGTGGGGTGTGTCAAAATGCTTGGTATAAATAAGTGATATAGTGTAAGGCTGTCTGCTGATCTCTTGCCTACCATTAGCCTGATAGCTTAGCTTAACCAGTGGCCTGTTTTTTTGAGCTTCCATCACCATGATACAAAGCAGAGGTCTATAGTTAAAGATAAGTACAGTATACCTTTTATGTGGACCTACTAGTGCTTTTAGGCATGTAGAGCAGAGGTTGTTCTGACACAAGCTGTCTATACAATATCATGATCAAATAAGATAACACTGATGCTTCTGAATGCATAAAATGTCATGATGTTGCAATATTGTTCAGGAGTAATGACATACACACATATCATTCATAGTGTTGGTAACATAAACTTGATGGGGCCCATCTTGTTGTAGGCAATCTTTTATTCTGCTGATTATAAAATCTCCTGAACAGGAGTAAGCAATGGAAGATCTATAGAGGATGTCAGGCTTGATGTAGAAGCTTTCCTTTAGGGCTTTGTATACTTTGTACATAGAGTCTTTCAACAGTATAGTACATTCAGAAGAATGAAAATGATAATGACACAAGCCACTAAGTAGGTTGCACAGTTCAATCAGTTAGTTTAAAAAGCCAGCACTAGGAAGGTGAGATTCTGGAAGTCTGAGAAGAAAATATATACATCTCCTGATGCTTTCTGAAATTTAAGCAACAAGAATGTTACATCCTTGGCTTTAAAGTCAGCCATGCTAACTCTTGGTTGTTTCAATTGGTTCAGATCACTGGAGCCCAATTTTGTAACTCAAACTTATGAAGACTGAGATAGAATGTTTTTTCTTGTAAGGTTTAACATGTGAGAGACTAGAAGGCAAATTTCAATACAAAGAGAACAATGCTGAATTGGCCTTTGAGTTTTTTCCCTAAAATGCTCTTAAAGCTAAAGAAAGACTCACAAGACATCTTTAAGATGAGCACAAGCAGCGTGGCTGTTCTCTTTTACCAGAAGAAGGAAAAAAAGGTCTTTAATTACCTAGCAGCATGCCCTAATCAAAAGTCTTTGAAACTTCAAGGATGAAAACAGTGGTCAACAAATATTAAATGATCAGGAGTATGTAATTTTACCTGTTGATCTATATGTGAAAAGAGGAGCATGATGCAGAATGTCTAAAGGAAAATTGCTTTACAAGCAGGACAAGAGGTCATACCACCCTGAGAGCAGCTTATTAAAAAAGGGGAGCAAATCAACTCTTTTTAAAGGGGAGTCTTTAGCCTGCATTATCCTACTGTTGGGATTTCTGGACATGACCCATCTAGGCTGTGATCTCATAATGAATATGCACGTTGTTTTTAAACAGGCACAGTAAGTCCAATTATTTTGGAAAGTCTTTGAAGCACTGAATGCATTTCTGCCCAGAAAATCTTGGGCAAATAGGAACATAGCATTTGACAGTTAAGTATGGCCTAAATGTTAATGCTAGTGGTGGGAAACCTGAAGTGTGTGCGAGTGTGTGTCCATTTAGGTGTATGCATACTCCCTTGCAGAAAGAACAAGCATTACCAAAAATTTGGATAGAGAAGACAACGGAGTAACTTGTCTGAGATGCAGCTGAGGTTCAAATGGTAATAATTGCACAATAACATAGAATTAGGATTATCTAACTGTAAAAAGAAAAATAAACACTTTATTAGGCTGAGGTTAGTCAACAGATGGCTTATAAGCCACCAGTAGTCTACAAAACATCAGATGGTTGATGTAATTTCTACATATAATAGAAGTATCCTTGACATTGACAAGCCAGTACATGCCATGCAGCAGAAGTGGGAGCGGGATTTTTATAGAGCTAGCACATCTCGGAAATGGTGAGAATTAGAAAAACTGTGGTTCAGTTATAAATAAAATCAGGAGGGTTAACATTTTCAGTAAATGACATGCAAAAACACACAAGGTGGTCTGCAGCTTATTAAAAAACTCCGTGGTTCTTTGCTTAAGACTTGACAACCATGAGCATATGAGCAGGAAAGCTTTAGTTGTAGTGACCATCAAACACTGACCGTATGCAGTTTTTGACTTAATTGTACTGAACTTCTCCTTGCAGGTGCTTAGCAGGAGTTATCTGTGAAATGTATGTGTTGGCGGGTGGCAGCGGTGCCGTTCCAAGTTTGTAAGGGGATGTCAGAATGTGAAAGGTCTCACTGGTGGAAGCAGGTGGAAAATATTTTCAAGGTCACTGGCAATATTTTACATATGTGAGAGGTAGTTCACACCATCTGCTATCAGCTACTAAACATTTAACTGCTACTCAAACAGTAGAAAAACTAATGAAGAGGCAAAGGCAGAAGTTTCAAAAGCTGATGGAACTCACCACATAATGAGATGGGAACCTGATTCGATAGCATAGGGAAATGGAGCATGCAGACATAGTACTGTGGAAGACAACTACAGTGCATTTTCAAAAAGACATGGATGTTTCTGCAAAAAAGGGGAAGACAATAACGATAACTTGGAAAATGCCTCAGTGTTACTCTACAGATAAGAGAGATATCTTGTACTTGGAGAAGTGAGAATAATTTGAAATTGACAAATGTTGCTATAACACCAGCACTATTTAGATTAGAATCTGATAGCAACTGGGAGGTGGTACGCATTAATAACTTGGGTTGCTTTTCTTAACTGCTGCAATCTTAAAAGAAGCCTTGTCATCTAAAAAGCACAGTAGCAGCTGCTCTGGCCTTCTCTACTGGCTTCTACAAGTGCTTCTGCCCTGTTTTATAGATTCATTTGAAATCCCCTGAAAGCCTGCTGCAGAAAAATAACATTTGTAAGAAACAGTTCTTGTAGGCTGGCTACATTGAAGGGAAGTCCACATACCTTTTTCATTAAAGAGCTGTCCATGTGAAAGTCTTGTCCCCACACTATCTTTCATGTTCTAAGGTTTTGTTTGTGAAATAAAACAGTCAAGCATGGGAACAAGTATGAGAAATGAACTCTATAGTAAAAACACATTTTTTTCACAACTGAAGGGTTTTCTTGTTCAGAGCAGGGAGACGACTCTGACTGACCACGAAGGTCAGTATCATCCTGTGCCTGATAGCTTGCCCACACTAATGAGTTTCTAGGTTACTTCTTCTGAAAACTCATAAATATCAGTGATTTTAAATGAAATTGTTGCCCTGTTTTCTTTAATATCTTACAGAAATGGGGCAATTTTTTTTTTTTCGCTTCACCAAGTGGACTGCAAATGGTGCAGGAAAAGAACTTGAGCAATATCCAACTTGCATGTTACTTTAGGGATGAAAGATGATGTGACCCATGACACTTTCCAACCTGGATACAGAGAGCCAGGCACTGCGCAAGCTTCTTCCCTCACAAGAGACCTCTTCACCAGCAACAAGGATGTCTGTGCGATGATATACTGATTTTAGAGCAACCATTCAACCTGACTAAGACAAAATACAAGGAAAAATAAAGACCGTTCAAAGGATAAAACACTTAGGGCATTTCTTTTTCTCAGGCTTAAATCTCATTGAACAATCTGCTTATACAAAGTAAAATGTTTATATATATTTTGAGTAGCTATCTAAATTAAGCATGATTTCAACATCTTTGTTTTTTAAAAATCCTTCTGTGCAATTTAAAGACACTTGTAATTTGAAGCTCAGCCTTGGCAGCACTGATGTTTAGCAGGTCTCAGCACCCTTAAAATATCTTTTATATGAAGAAGAATATTCTTTCCTTTCCTGCATTTACCATTGCAATTGGTGCAAAACCATTTGCACGTTGACAAACATTCAGACAAGTAAAGTGGAAGTTGAAGAGTATGACCGCTCCCTAATGCCAGGTTTCAAAAGTAGGCAAGCTTACACAACTTTTCAATTGAACTTTTTTTCAGTTTTCAATATGCAGCGTTCTGCACACAGACAATTCATATCTTGGCTTTTTTTGTTGCATTTCAAGCCTGAAATGATCAAGAAGAAATGGACTAAGAAACTTGATTCCCTAAAATTTAAATGTTAAACCCGGTATCTGAGATCTAAGGTGGATATCTGTGAAGGAAATCCTTATTTTGTTACAATGCATTAAGTAATTGGTCATAATGTGATGTTTCTGTCTTAATGTATTTCCTGTAACCTATCCTTCAACAAATGTTGGATCATCAACCTTAGAGCGCACACAACTGTATTGCTATAATCCTTTTGAACATTGCAAAGGATATGAGCAATATTTGGTTGCTGAAAGTCCGTAAGGATCATCTTTGCCACAGGTAAATAACTTGCGGCTGATCAGTCTCAGCCAAAGGACAGAACTAAATCCTATGAGGTGGAAATCACTTCAGATTCTTTCAGTTTCACAGTGGTGAGAGGGTCTGTTAGTGGGGGACATGATTCATGGTTCCTGCGTGTTCATGAAAGACAAAACCAGTATCTCCTGCAGATGAAGGAAATATGAGAAGGGACAAAATTTCAGTCATATAGCCTTCAAAATTGTTTAAATGAACCTTGGCTTTTTAGCACCCACTGGCAAACTGTACCGTATGCAGGGTGAGCAACTTGGTGGAAACAAATGGTCACTATCTTATCTTCAATAGCTAAGGTACAGAAAAGTCTCCCAAAGCTAACATTGGCACAATCGGCCTCAAATGACAGTGAACTTCACACTATTGATCTTGCTCCTGTTTCTACAATCATTACTACTTAATTTCCACTGCTGTACCTAATTCAAATTCTGAAACAAATCATCTCAAGCACTCCTTGCTCTGCAGCCTCTGACAGCTCAGTTTGTTGAGATTCCAGGAGATTACTTTTTCTTTACTAATTACATTAACTAGTATCCTTAACTTACCCCATTCTTTCATATTGTCCTGCAGTTTCTTCTGTGTTGATGTACAACATCCTACTCCTACTTCCAGGTCAACTTATTGCTCGCTGAGGAACAGCGGCATTTGTTCCAGTTGTTTTTTTGCTCACTGGATGCTGCTAGGCCAGCCAGAAAGGAATTCACCCTGCAACCACTTCTGCCAGCAGGGTGCCAATTTGGGACTCTCTCCCAGGCCCACTGCCTCAAAGAAAGACGTTTTTCAAACTTCTTTTCAGTCAAAACTAATCTCTCCTCTATAAGAGAAATTAGGGCAAGGGTAGTTGCACAAAAGCTTTTTCATCAAGCTGTACGACTTGAGCTAAACACCAACCTTGGGAAAAGGACGTCTGCGTCGCCCAACTGTGATAAATTAATGCAATACCACATTTCTCTTGAAGTTACCTTTGCTTTTAAGACTTATCAAAGGTTCAGGAGGTTAATTCTTGGAGCTACGCTTCTGCTTTGCAAGTGTGCTAACAAGCTACGTTTCTGACACCAGCATTTGAGCTCTGTTACTCAGTTTTATCAGTCTGTGCAACTGCTAAACTGCCTTCCCCACCTGCCTCTCTTCCACCTTACCGGCCCTCCGCCTTATTCCGGCAGTCTAAGGGGGCTGCGCGGGGGCGCGCCCCCACCAAGTGCAGCCCCAGCACCTGACTGAGCTGGCCGTCACGAGCTGCCCGCTCCCGTTGCGTTCCCTGGACCGGGCCGCGATACAGAACTCCTCAGAGCTGCACTAAGATCACTGAGCAAAAATCAATAAATAAATACGTAGTTACAGTACCGACAGCGAGGTAATGGATTGCTTCAACGCCTTTAAAGTACTCGACGAGCTCGACCTCCTCACAACCTCATTTTCACAGCTCGGCTGCCGTGCAGGAGCGGCGCGAGATAAAAACAAAGAGTAAATAAATAAAAAACCCCCAC